GGCCAGGAGAACCAGGTTCAAGTCCCACCTGCTCCAGATGTGGAATAATATTTCCAAATAGGTTGATCAGAAAATACCTAGGACTCTTGGCCTTCTCTATAGAGCTGCAGTCCAATTAGTGGTCAGCAGCATTGTCACACCATGATCAGTGGCACCAGAGAAAAAAGAACCTCAGATAGCATCAGACAAAGTAAACGCAGCTCTTGGTGATGCCACCAGCACGGACAAGTAAGGTTGGGGGATGTTGGATGGACAGGGTGACACAGAGACTCAAAATTGTGGTTTGGTGGAAGTTCTTGGATGAGTTCAGAAAGGATGTTTTCCCCTTTTCACTGACCAGCAACCCATGGGGTTAAAACTCCCTATAAAACTGGAGCAGCAGTGGATGAGACATTGAATTGTGCATTAGTTGTTCACTGAGAGGCCTCAATTGGACCACTGGCAAGTGGGTAACCTGACATCTCCCCTGCTGCCTGTAACTTGGTGGTGGGATAGGGATGGTAGTAATAACATAAAATCCAACACACGATGTCTTCAACAGTTTGATGCGAGTCAGATAAAGTAACTTGCCTCTGTAGGGAGGGTTAATAAATACTGAAGTGCAGTTGAGGCAAGATATGAAGAAAAATTTTTAAGAATTCCATTACTTACCTGGCATATACATTCAGAACAAAGGTAAGAACTTGAACATAGTAAAATACCATTCAAAAATACAGGGGAATAAGAGACTTTAAAAAGTTACATTCTTTTCTTTAAACATATAGGAGAACACAGAGGTGTGAAGATAAAAATAAATTAAATGTGCACCCTCTTCATTCATACCCCTACCAGTAGGCTCAATGAATGCAAGTGAATATGTGAAACTAAATCGATGACTAATCTTATAAGTCACATTGGCACTGCATGAACATGTATGACCAAGTATTATTTTCATTGAAATCAGCAGTAGGTACTTGAGTAAACAGCTCTGTAAAGGACTTCAATGTTTCGGTATAAACATGGTCAAAAGTGTATGCCAGTGAGAACCAAAATTTAATTTGTTAAAAACAGGTTGTCAATTTTGTAGGTTAAGTAAAAGATAAAAAGCAATGACAAAACTCTTGTTACTGTAATGATAAGTTCCAATGTTACCAGTTCAGAACCTGAGAGACTGAAGTGCAGTTGTATGAAAGAAATGATACTCCTTGTAAATTTTCCACGTGAGAAATGACACATAGCCTGAAAAGAAGATAAATGCTCACATGCTGGAAAATGCAAGATGTAAGAAAAAGAAGTTAAGTTGTGTCGATAAGTACCTTAACAATAAGTTCCTTTAGTATTTCCATGGATTACAATATAAATATGTTGGATAAACCAAGGTCAATGCAAATGCTAAAGTATTTGCACATCACCCTGGATTGCTATAAATTATTGATTAAATATGGATTCAGGAAGGACAATGAAGTATAAACAATTTCTGCAGGATTCCAGTTTTATATTGCTTTTTGTTCTCACAATCACAAAGCAAAAAATGCAGCACTCAATTCTAACATCCAATATGCTGAAAATTGCTGTTGTTCAAGTTATGGCAACCCTTGAAGGGTACTATCGTGTTTTTTTTCAGTTTATGATTGGCTATGTCAAAAATAGCTGTGGGTAGCCATTTATGAATATGATGAGTATCAGAAGGTAAACTATGCATAACTGTTCACCACCTATTTAACCACTTGAGATTAAATTCTGCATTCATACAAATCACCCTACAGTGATCAAACTGAAGTTCAAATTATCTCGATATCTAAACTGCTGTGAAAAGCTGCTTTTCACTGATTACTAAGTCATGGCATGTTTTTACTTGAAATCTTAAGTTGTTTTCATTCTGAAATGAGGTAGAAAATGTAAGGAAAACCATATTTAAGCATATATACTTTTAAAAAAATCAAACTATTTGGGCACGTTATGACATTTATGAGTAGTTCAGATTATTCAAATAAAATCTTGACATCTAAACGCACAAATCACTAAAAGCAGTAGAGGTTAATAAGGCCATCAAACACAATAAATTAGGCCTGAGCCACAATTCTAGAAGATCAGAATAAAAATGAGAGACGCTGTGCTAAATGTCCGTTAGACCATATTCTGAGTTTTGCATATGGTTCTGATCAAAAGACAGGCAGGAAGAAGATTTAAAAAAAGGTTCACAAATATGATGCAAAAACTAAGAGGACTAATGTTGTTTTCCGAGCAAAATACAGATTTCTAACATAATTTAATAAATGTTTCCATTTGTCAGAGTCCAAAACTACATGTAATAAACATAAGATTGTCATTAGTTTAGCTCACCAACATCTTCTCAAGAGCAACTAGGGAGGGGCAATAAATGCTGGCCAGCCAGTGATGCTCACATTCGAGTGAATTAAAAAAAAGTAAATCCAGTAGCGAATCCAAGTGAAAACTCTTCTCGCGAAGAATGGTAAGAATGTGAAACACGCCACTAGAAGGAGTAGTTGACACAAACAGCATTAATCCAGTTCAGAGAAGCTAGATAAGCATGAGGGAAAAGGTAATAGCAGAAATCTGATAAGCGTTATATGAAAATGGATATAGGAAAACAGATATTACGCATCAATACTGGTATGGATTAGTTAGGCTGCCTACACTTGATGCAACATCTACTTGCAGGCGTATTAATTTACAGAGATATAACTTTTAATCTCATTTATGAAATAGATTGTGATACAAGGGAGACAATGCCTTTCTTAGCACATGAAGATGATTAAAAACACAGTTTGTGAATATTCTGCATCCAGTGAAATATCTGCTTTGTGTTAAATCATTGTATTTCTTTGTTCTCCAACTATGTCTGGTATTCTGGATGAATGTTGTGATGAAGTAGGAAAATTTTATCTCTACCATGTGCTTAACTAAAGCTGTTTTTAAATTGGAGCTCATTGATGTTGGCTTCAAGGACACACAAACAGACTGGGCCTGGCGTTTCTCATTACTAAATCTGGCTGCCTTATGTCGGCGGTGGAATTATAGACAAACTTTTCAAGAGTTGCTGACCCATATTCAGATTTAAAAATATAGAGGCTGGGACACAGCCTCCCATGAATCTGACTTTAGTAAACTCCAATAGAAATGTGGGTTAAAGCTTTATATTGATTACATTTTATAAAAGAGCCCTGGTCACACTTAGAAGAAAAATGATATATTAAATAACATAGAATCATTCTTCAGTTTGCCATTCTCTTTTTTTCCAGGAATCAATGTTAGAATCTGGTGTTTCGTGCATAATTCTGCCACCTTTGTTTGATGATATTCCTTCCTAGTTCCATGAAGACCAATTACCATTCCCCAATCACTCTCCTGAAAAGCTTCAGGGGATAGTTCAATGGAAAATTTGAAATGGCAGTTGCTAGGTTTTTCTCAGGTAGCTAGAGGTAGGAAACCAAGATGTCTAGATGGAATTGAGGTACAGATCAATTGAATAGACTTGAACAGCTGAATGACATCTTTCCTAATTCCTAATCAATTTAGGTGAATATTAAAATTTGAAAATGAGCATCATAAAGATTCCTTAGATGAGAGTCATTATAACGTCATCAAATTTCAGATTCAGCTTGAGGTTGGGTCTGAAACTAGTATCTTAAACTCAAATAAACGCAATTACACATCATGGTGACCTCAGCCTAAATGGAAATTGAACCTGCGGTGTTGACATCGCTCTGTATTGCAAACCAGCCGTTCAGCCAACTAGATAACTGAGGAGGGACTGATGAGAGATAGTAGGAACTGCAGATGCTGGAGAATCTGAGATAACAAGGTGTAGAGCTGGATGAACACAACAGCCAAGCAGCATCATAGGAGCAGGAAGGCTGACGTTTCGGGCCTAGACCCTTCATCAGAAATGGGGGAGGGGAAGGGGGTTCTGAAATAAATAGGGAGAGCGGGGGTGGCAGATAGAAGATGGATAGAGGAGAAGACAGGTCAAAGAGGCGGGGATGGAGCCAGTAAAGGTGAGTGGAGGTGGGGAGGTAGGGAGGAGATAGGTCAGTCCAGGGAGGACGGACAGGTCAAGGGGGCAGGATGAGGTTAGTAGGTAGGAAATGGGGGTGCGGCTTGAAATGGGAGGGGATACGTAGGAGGAAGAACAGGTTAGGGAGGCGGGGACGAGCTGGGCTGGTTTTGGGATGCGGTAGTGGGAGGGGAGATTTTGAAGCTTGTGAAATCCACATTGATACCATTGGGCTGCAGGGTTCCCAAGCGGAATATGAGTTGCTGTTCCTGCAACCTTCGGGTGGCATCGTTGTGGCACTGCAGGAGGCCCAGGACGGACATGTCGTCTGAGGAATGGGAGGGGCAGTTGAAATGGTTCGCGACTGGGAGGTGCAGTTGTTTATTGCGAACCGAGCGTAGGTGTTCTGCAAAGCGGTCCCCAAGCCTTCGCTTGGTTTCCCCGATGTAGAGGAGGCCACAACGGGTACAGCGGATTCTGCAAAGCGGTCCCCAAG